GGCGTCGGCGCAGGCCGCGGCGCTGAGCGCCGAGCAGGCCAAAGGTGAGTGCGGGGCGGCGGGGCGGGCGCGGGGCCCGCGGGGCGGCCTGGCAGCCTCTGCGCCCCGCAGTGGTGCTGGCCGAGGTGATCAAGGCCTTCGGCGCCCCGGAGAACGCGCAGCGCATGGACGAGGCGCGCGACAACGCCTGCAACGACATGGGCAAGATGCTGCAGTTCCTGCTGCCCGTGGCCACCCAGATCCAGCAGGACGTGATCAAAGCCTACGGCTTCAGCAGCGACGGGGAAGGTGGGTGGCGTGGCGGGACGGGGCGGAGCGAGCCTGTCCCCCCGCTCCCCTGCGGCCGCCGGGGGGCGCCGCGGCTCAGCGCCCTCTCCGCCCGCTCCCCTGCAGGCGTGCTCAAGTTTGCCCGGCTGATCAAATCCTATGAGTCGCAGGACCCGGAGATCGCCAGCATGTCTGGGAAGCTCAAAGCCATGTTCCTGCCGCCGATGGCGGTTCCGCCGCACGCCGCTGGGACCGGCGGAGTGGCGACCTCGTGAGAGCGGGCGCTGCTCGCGCCCGGCGCCCTGGCGGTGCCGCTGCCCTCCGTGCCCCGCAGCCGGGGCTGCCTGCGCCTCGGGGCCGGCTGAGCCGGGGAGACGCGGCTCCGGGAGGAGGCGGCTGCTTTGTGCGTGTTTGTGTGCCCGCTTGTGAATAAAAGCTACCTGGAAAATGACCCGCGTGCTTTCTGAACCAACCTGGGCCTGGCAGAGCTCCAGCAGGGATGGATCGCTCTCCCTGCTGCAGAGGCAATTGCAGCTGTGTCCAACTGGTGTCTAGTCAAAAAAAAAAAAAAAAAAACAAACAAAAAAAACACCACCCCACTTTGTTCGTAATTTGAGAGAGAGTATTTGCACAAATCCTGGAAAAAAAGGTGCGTGCTCGTGCAGGCCTTTGTGTGAAATCACAGTACCTAATCTTAAATGAGTGGATTTTTTTGCCCCTGTTCCCCCATTTTTTTCCCCATGCTCCTGAGCTGTTTCTAAACAAGCACATAGAAAGGCGATGCTTGAAATGTACTAGGTGGCAGGTTCATAAACACAAATTATTCCCTAAGGTGCTCTCCAGCAAGTGACAGAAATGGGGTTAAGACCCTGGCCGCCAGCCAGATCACTCCTGCTGTTTTGTGCCCCACTGCACGCCCCTGACACCCGCCCGTGTAGCTGCGCTCCTCTTTCCCAGCTGGACATGGGAGCTGGGGTAGGCCTCGTGGCAAAGGCTGCAGCAAGGTGCAGCAGCGACTGGCCTGGTGAAGGAGAGCCTTGCGTCCCGCCAAAGCCAGGCGGGTCGGCGGTCCGTGGGCGGCAGTGCCTCGAGGGTGAAGCTTCGTGTTCCTGACTTCCCTCAAGCGCAGGGGCGCCCGCTCCCTCTGACTGTGGGTGCTCTTGCAGCTTGCGTGTTCCCCTTGCCCGTGTAAGTGCTGACGGGGCTGGGAAGGGTGAGGGTGCAGGGGCAGGGCAGGCGAGTCCGGCGCGAGAGCGGCGTTGGCTTTTGCTGTCGGTGTSGCTGCGCTGGGAGCCGCTGCGGAATGCAGCCAGCAAGGGCGTGAGCTTAGCGCTCAGGAGGCAGGAAGCACAGTCCGTCCCTTCCGTCTGCCTCTACCTCTCCCAGATTGGGCTTGGCCTTCCCCCACCCTTATAATTATTTATTAACTGCAGCCCAGGAAGTGTTTTGCAAATGGGGAAAATAAAACCCTTTGCCTAAAGCCTGCTGTTGCCTGACCTGGAGCTACCTTTTCCTCTGCCCATCCCAGCAGCAGGCTGGGGTCGGAGCTTGGCCTGCGCGGATCGGGTGCAGGTGAGTCACAGGGCTCGCAGCAGAGCCTGGACGCGGGAGCCGCTCCTTCCAGAGCTGCCGCAGCATCCAGCCGTGTGCCTAGGGCGGGAGTCCAGCCCTTGCTCTGTCAAGTGCTTTGATCTCTCTCCCCAGTCCATTTCAGATATTACTGTGTTGATACTTCCGATATTTTATTTTATTTTTCAGTTGGAMCCTCTGGTTAAGGACTGTGGTTCTCCCTCTACCCTCTGCTGTTAGTCCCCTATCAGCGGGGATCTGTCAGTCGAGACCCTGATGCCATCCTGTGGGTGAGTGTTGTGCACGCCAGCTACAAGTACAGAACAGTGCTGTTGGTGAGAAAAATAACAATCAATACTGGCAATAGGAATCGGGCCGGGCGGGGGAAAAGAGCCCCTTGTGCTGGGCACTACACGATAGCGGGAGGACCGTGTTCATCCTGTGTTAGATCGTTGTTGCTGTTCCTTCTTCTCCTCGCTTTGTGAGAAGAGGGAAGAGTTTGTCATCATCAGTCCAATACAACTATTTTCTGCTTTCTGCAGAAATATCTCAGGACATGTTTTTCCATGTACAGAGAGAGATCAGGCAGCAAGTTAAGCYTGACTATTTCTTGATTTGTTACCGTCTTAGAGCCCTAACTGACAAGACATGCAGTCTCCGCTGTCAATCCACATGGGTGCTCTGTTGTGGGGACGGCAGCGACATGGCGAAGGGAATGGGATCAAGCATCAGGGCTAATCTATGGTTAGGCTCTGGATGGACAGAGTGAGCTGAGCTGCAGCCTCCTGCCTGCACCCTACCTTGGCGCACGGAACTGCAGCATGGCAAATGCCGTGATTTCTTTTTATAAGGGTTCAAATGAGAACTAAAATTGATGTCTAGAATGAGCAAGAGATTAGATAGGGAAAGGAATAGATAGGAATTAGATAGGGAAAGGAATTAGATAGGGAAAGAGATAGGGAAAGGAATGAATATGACATCAAAGAAGGAGTTGATATCTACCTTTATAAAGGAAATGCCTTCTTGAAGAACTATTGGAATTCTCCGAGGGACTTGGCAAACTTGTGGCTAAGGGACATCTGTCTGATATAGCTTGATTGGATTTGACGAGCTTCCCCCTCGTTGAAGCCTTGTTTTTCCAGAAAATTTAAGCCATGCCATAAGAGAGAAGGGTTTTTTTTTTTCCCTTAGGCAAAGAATTCATGAAAAATAAGAAACAAAAGATGGACATAAACATCCAGTTTTCACAGTAAAGGGTGATCAGCAGTAGTCAGATCACTAGAGCAAGAGCCTAGAGCTAGAGCTAGAGCAACAGCTRTGTTCTGTTCGGTATATTCCCAAATGACCTGAAAAAGAAGGGTGAGCAATAAGAAGAGGATTGAAGAGAGATACTTGGGATAACAGGTTGGAATGCAACTATGAATAACTGCAGAACCAACTCAGAGAATGAACAGGCCATAGAAGAGCAGACGGAATTCGTAATAGGTATATGTGAAACAATGTTCATGAATAAAATAATTCCGACTTTACATATAAAATAATGAACTCTGAAATTACCTTAACCTCTCAGAAGTAAAATTGTGACCTCATAATA